ATAATTCTGGGAATCCAGCCTTGACAAGGGGATAATATTAAGCGAGTGACAGTCCTATAGGTAGGATTTCTAGCAATTGACAATTGAATTTTGATTTTATAACCTGTTACCTCTATAAACATGTTATCTAGGCGGAGCAGTAGATGATTGGTTAATAAAGGTCCTATAGACATGATTTCTAGGTGAAAATAAATTGAACATAAACTTGTGAGATCCTATAGGCATGGTATCTATTGGATGTGATGCAGTAATACGAATTAATAGAAAGTTCAACGATATTTCCTACAGGCGGGTCCTCTAACAACATATAGCTACAAAGATATTGAGGCATTTGAGCTCACGCTTTACTAATAAACAAGTAGTGCAAGTGTGTGTGTTTTTTCCTAATGGCATGCTCTCTACAGTGTGCACAGGGAATGAATAACATAGAATATATGCACCATTCAATCCTATAGGCATGTCATCTACCCATCGCATGTTAATATTAGAATTTACCCTATCCCCTTTTACTAGCACCCCAATCTTTTATACAAAGGTAGTATTACAGACCCAAATTAATAAGTGAAATAGTAATATTAAATGGCAATAGATAGGCCTATAGCGGGCCTAACTAAAACAACTAAATACCCAGCCTTACAGGGCCTTCAACATTTCTGACATAGCATACCACACGATCACGGGTCCATAGGGGAGTTCAGACCCCTTTTCAATGAGCCACAACACCAAGTGTTACATCACTTGGAGCAACCAACATAAAAACACAGTACATGATAAGGAAGTAGAGCATTAGGGATAGTTTGGAGGTTAAAGGGATGACTAGGGCCAAGCCCCTAGTGTGTCAGAGTTCACAAGGGCCTCAATTGGACCCTGAGCAGTGCTCACACTAGGAAAGCCAACAAAGAACCTAGGTAGCCTTGGCTTTCAGCCGGCTAAGAATAGGGATTCAGAATACCAAAGCAACAAGTAAAGAGAACGGACAGAAATTTCCAGGGTAACCATACAGCATAACATGTTAGGTAGACCAGCAAAATTCAGCAAGGTTCAGTAGTAAAGCATCACATAGACAAACATCATAGGGAAAGGAAAACAAGTGTGCAAACATACCTAGATTGCACTAGTTGACATTTAAGGGTCTAAAATTAAGTTAAGTCTGACCTAATGCCATATCAACACTTGGACATAATGGAGGGATACATATATTGATTATCACGAAAGGAGAAAATAGCAAATGAACCAAGGCATACTAAAAAAACATGTCAACATAAGAGCAAAGTCCTAATCGATTGAAAAATAGAGTGTTTGCCTTTAGAGAATCAAGATAGCATGAAACAGGTTTAAACAGGTCTCAGAGCAGTATTATAAAACACTCCAATATACACAGGACTCGGTAAAAGTTCATTCAAGTAAAGGGGTTTCCATAGAGCTAGGGCATTATCTAAACACAATATGCAAAACAGCATACAACCACAAAACTGAAATCCAAAATTAACATGTTAAGATGCTACAGGGTATAGAACTAATCTTAGGAGATAAGAGATCACAAAGTGTAAATTATAGTGAAGCATGACATGAACAGTAGACGATTCTCATGCGTCAATTAACATAGAATGATGTCAAAGTTGAACACCATCACAGTTGAACCAAATTTCAGTTATATGTGCAGAAAGAAGGAAAGAAATTAAACATTATGAGGGTTTAAACACTAACCAGTAGCAGAATTAAAAGAGTGCAGAGTGTTGTAGCAAAAACCCCAAATCCCCGATGCTTCAGAGTTCACAAGAGCCTCGAGAATGGGCTCCAACAGTGCTTGCATCGGAGGAGGTTATTCAATAGTTTCAGAGAGTTTGAGGTTAACAGTGAGTGAGTAGAGAGTAGTGAAAAATAGTAGCCGGAATCAGGATTCGAAAATCTCTCTTTAAGGGGTTTCATGAGAGGGGTTTATATAGTATAGAAATCCAACACAAATAAGGAAAGATATGCCCGGATCAATTAAAATCGATTTTTTAGGGCATAAACAAAGTTCAGTAGATCAACAGGGAATAAGAATTATCACGCAAATAATACTAAAAAATAAAGGAATACAGAAGATTAAATAGTGAATAAGGAAAATATCATACCAAAATCATTTAGAGTCAGATTTAGGGCAAAATAAAGTAGAAAATAGGGAAACGTGGCAGATTAAACAGAAATACGGAAAAGAATAGTTAGACACGAAAAAGGAAAAGTATCAATCAACAACCAGTAAGAAATAAGGGAAATTTCAAACCCTAGTTCGAAAAGGAAGCATGGATAGTCGAAGATCTCACTGAATCGGACCATATAGAGTGCATATAGACGAAATATTGTCTAAATTTCAAAGATTAAAGGCGGTGGAATCCCGTTTGGGTACTGGTACTTGCCAAAATTAGGGCAAGTACCATATAACATCATAATCTTGCAGATAATAACGAGGTAACACATAAAAGGCAAGTAAAATCACAGAGAGAGTCCATGATTTACTCGGATTTGGAGAAGATGGGGGAGGCGACTAGGGTTTCTGAAGGAGGGAGAAGGGAGATGAGAGGATACAGAGGCGGCGGGCAAAGGGGGAATGGGGTTAGGGTTAGGAGTTAGGTTAATTAAAGGGAGGATCAACTGCCAGGATTAAAAGAAAAGCTGGGGCTGGTCGTGTAAAGCGGGTACCGACCGGGTTGTGGTTAGTGGATTATCTGTGTTGGGCTTGGGGTGATTGCGCTAAGGTTTGGGATAATTGGGCTGAGGTCTGGGTAGTTTTTTAGGTCCGAAAATTGGCCTATTTTGGGCCAGCTATTAAATACACAATAATTATTTTCAAAAATAATTTATAAAAATAATTAATAGATAATAAAATACTACTTGTGCAATAAAATGGTTGAATATAATAACTCAATATTATAAAAATATGAAAATGACATTTGGGCATAAATAACACAATAAACGCAATTATTTGTAGAATGTAGGCCATTATTGCAAAACTAGATAAATAGATTAAAAATGCTAATGTGATTACGAAAAATAGAATGAATAATATTTGAAATATGTATTATGGATGCGAATAATAATTTTGAGTAATTGAGTCATCACAAAATAATTTAAAGGATAATTACTAGACATTTATATAATAAAAAATATAAGAAAATTAATTTAAAGCTCTGAAAATTATGAAAAATTATAGAAAAATGCTTATATAGGTTTGTCAACTAAGTGATGACGCAAATATGCTATTTTGAAAGTATATATGTATTTTTAAAATATGAGAGAAAAATTAGGTATCAACAATGGCATCTTGGGGTTGAAAAAGAGTGGTCTTTAGTTTGTGTAAGGTTGTTAGAGCTAAAACAACAGAAGTTGAGATCAAGATAAACGTTAAGCTTGTCGGCAATAATTGTCTGCAATGGCTCCAAGTGAGATGATCCGTGATTTCTTCGGCGATGGTTAAAGGTGGCTTGAAGATTAAAGTTGGTGATGTGATTTTCAGGAAAAAATTATCTTTAAAAAAAGAAAAAAAAAAGGGAAAATATTCTGTGTTTGGATCTAACTCACACGCTCAAGAGATGTGAAAAATACTTTTTCATACCATATCATCCTGTTGTGTTTTATTGGCACGCTTTTGCTGGGGTTAGAGTGTTCAATAGGTACTTGCTTTAGTTAAAGTGCCTAAATGAGAAATAGTGCCAAGTTTAAGGGACTGCCTATGTATTTGGCCTAATTTCAAGCTCCTATAGTTCACTTTTGGATCTAATCAAATGATGTTCCTCCAATAAGCATCTGCTAATTTGCTCGGAATACTGCTACTATACGTCAAGGAAATTCCCCAAATTTACTATCCAATGCTGGTAAATTTTGAATTTTATGTAACTACTTTCTATTCATTAGGATGAATATTTGAATTTTTCGTTTTCAATTATGTTCGATGATCAAGATTTGCATTTAGGCATTTTTAAAATGCCCCATACCCGCACTAATGGGTAACCTGAGATAAGGTATGAAAGCAGTATAATTATTTCCACTTGAGTCGACTTAAGTCTCTCTCTTCATTAAAAAAAAATAGTCTTTCTCTCTTCGTACAATCTTGGCTCTAGTAAAGAGAAAGAATCTCTTCATACCCTATTGCGGGAAAAAGAACTTTCTATCCCCAGAACACAAGCACCGACCTCTCTGCCACTAGCACAAGTCGATAAAAAAAGATCATGTCACCGAATGTGGCGGTAGGGGTGGGCGTTTGGGCAGTTCGGATTAAATATACAATTTCGGGTTTGGATTTTCAATTTTCGAATTGAAGAAATGACAATCCAAATCCAATCCAAATAAGCTCGGATTGGATCAGATTTTTTAAGTTCGGTTTCGGATTAATCGGGTTGGATATGTTGGATTTTCGGTTTTGAGCTTATAAGTTGACATGTTTCTTCTTTTTACAAAAATGAATATCCAAATGAAGTGCTCATATTAAATTGCCTGAAAAGTTACTCATTCTCACCGCAATCATCCAAATAAAGTATTCATGTAATGAAATTACTATCAATAAAATGCAACAGAGACATTAATACGACCGATAAGAAGTAGTAATAGTAAAACCATGTCCAAATAGAAAGTATTCTGACAGTAACTTAGTAATTAATATTGCATATACGAAATAATATTTAATGGATATGGTATATAACTTATTATTATTGACATATAGATAATGGACTAAATACAAAGTATAAAACTTTCGGATTTTCGGATATCCAAAAATCCAAAGTACCAAATCCATCATCCAATCCGAAATCCAAAAAATTTAAAAATTAAATCCAAAATGCAATCCGTAATCCGAAAATCCAAACCAAAAATTTTAAAAATTCGGATTTCGGTTTGGATTTCGGGTTTGCCCAAACTATGCCCACCCCTAGGTGGGGTATCACCGTCTACAGGTCGAGTCATAAGATCTAAAGAGCAAATACTGCTGATTTATTGATTGTAAGTAAATCAAATGAAACTCTAAGTCACGGCAATATAGCTTTACAATGTGGAAACAAAAGTAGAATAATTATTTAATGGATTGAGCTCACTCTACATACATATACGACCAAACATTATTGAGTTCTAAGGGAAAATAATACAAATATACAAACTGGCATAACAAATTTCATTAGTTTCTCTTTCTACTTACACATCCTCCCCATTTATTACCTAGATTACAATTTTCTGTAGGTAGTCAACTTTGTATATCTTCTAATAGCTAGATGGTACAGTATTGTAGATGTCAAATGTTGCTCGTTTCTTCGTGGTAAAGTCCAAGCGCAGACTGCATAGAGACCAGCGCAATAACCATCCACAAAAATGGAACCAGATAAGAAATTAGAGAATATAAAAGAAATGAACAGAACAGCGTGAAAGATAACTTGTAGTGATATTTTTGATAGAGTGCAGATAGATGGAACTAACCATATTGAGAAGCCTCAGAGCAGCAGGCCGTGTGAATTTCCTCGCAAATAGGAAGCAAGGGGCAGGTTTTTCCTTGCTGGTGCACCACTCTCTCCGATATTCTGTCTCATAATATATATTGTCTATATCCTATCAAAATCGAATAAATCTCTAAGGTGCACATTCATCATTTTACGCAGGATAATTCAGGGTCATATAGCAAGACAATCATCCTCATTTCAATTGCTGAGAAAGAGAAGGTCAATTTTCTAGTGTTGTGAACCCTTGAAATGCCTTACATCCTAATAATAGCTACTTGAGTGGATTACTATTTCATTTTCTCCTTTGGCAATACGTGATATAATTTCCTGGATATTTTTCTCCCAAATGATCACCGAGTTTTCTGCTAGTAGATCTGGCTAACCTACTAATTAATCTGCTTGTTGAAAAGATCCAAAAGTACCTTGATAGATTGGATTAGCATGGGAGTAGCATCGGCTAATTTATAGGTAACAGGATGCCATCCTTTCCGTTCACGCTCCTTGGAGGATAAAATAAGCCATGCAGTGTGAGTCAATGTCCTCCGTGTAATTTCACCTTCAAGTCCTCCGTGCTGGATTAAATGAAAGACTCTCCTCAGAAAATGATAAAGGTTGATACTAAAGGTATCAAGTGAAAACTTAGGTTACATTCTAGAGAAATATGCCTTTTGTACTTATTCAAATTCCGCTCGTTAATAACTTTGCTAGTTACACAACCTATTCGTGAGATAAAATGTAGCAAACTTGAAAACAACGTCTAAGAGTTTACAACTAGCTGAACACAATAGAGGTTTATAACTAGCTGAAATCAACGAACAGTGCAAGATGAGTTAAACCTAAATAAGTACTTAGAAAAATAGTGAAACCGACTTGCCAAAGCAAATGAAACCTAAACAGAACTGCCAAGGTTCTTTTGCTTTTTGTCCGATGTTAATCATATTAATACGTTTCCTTTTAGGTCCAATGAATGCTAAGGGTCTATTAGTCTAATTAGAGATTTATATGCCAGTAGAATATATGGAAAACCTCGAGTATAGACAAACTAATTCTTTATTTTATTTTAAATAATCTTGGACTTAGACGGACTTAAACGGAGCGACATGGATAGCGCGAATTCAGATAGCCGAACCCAAGTTGGGATTGAGCCATTGAGGCGTAATTGTTGTTTTGTTTTTCTCAATTTTTGGGATAAAGAAACAAATGCAATGCAACTGACAAGGTTATTATATTGCCAATTACTTCCTCATAAACAATTACCACTATTAGTACTCAAACAGGTCATGAGATGGCGACTTAAATGTACTGGTAATCAGCTCAAACTTGAATTGAACTGTTGTAGTGTGTGGATTGCCCTATGCTACCAATGATCCATGCAAGGGAATTTTCTTTGACAGAACATCATTGTTTGAAGTGAAATCAGTCATATTTTAGGGGGAAATCAAGTTGCCAAGACGGGTTTAGATCACAGAAAACAACTTACAGCAAGCAGAGTTTGGACATAGTGTTCATCAGGTATACAATTATGAATTTTGGATGTATCCGGAGGCTGCAGAAAACAACAGGTATTAGAAAACAGTTGAACAGTATATAGAAGTAGTAGTTTATAGATTGGTATGGCATGTCATAGCAGAAGTTAAAAGTCAAAAGATTGACTAACAATAGAAGAGAAAAAATACTCAAACAGCATGGACTCTCACCACATACTGATCCCGCCAAAACTCAGGTAGCGGCTTTTTCTGCACAGTGATAAAGTAATTAAGGTGAGCAGTGAGCACCATGATAATATGAAGGTATGCTCAATGGGAACATACAAATGCAGAATTTTAGATATCATCAGAGTAGTTAACTTCTGTATACATTAGTTGGGTAGCCATAATACTTGTACAACCAGCAAATTAGAGGCACATGAGAAACTAATACTAATGGATTCAACTTTAGCACTGATTTTTCTATTGCCTAGTCTTCGTCCATCTAAAAGAACTAAGGACCATCCATTTTTTCCTAAATTAAAAATAAAAAGGCTAAGATAACTTGTCTTGTAATGCTCATGAATTCAGGACCATCCATGAGCATCATAAATCAAAATCCATATCCTAATTTTTGGAATAACAGTAAAGGTAGGTAAAAAAAAAAAAAAGGTTAACTTGCCTTGCAATGCAACTGAAACATAGGAAATAATCTTTCATCCTTCACTACAATATCTGCATGCTTTCTGTTTAAAACAGCCCACTGCGAAAACAAAGTGAAATTGTAAAGTAGTAAGCCATACAACTAGTAATAATCAAAGATACATCTTGCCTTTTTGCTCCATTTCTCCTTTGAGAATTTCCTTATAAGGTGCTTACATTGAACTTCATGAAGCTAGAATTCATATTTCAGACCAATACCTGAGAACCTTTCCTCCAGCTTTGAACAGGAATAAGTGGATCCATTTTGGGGTTGTAGCGGCCTTCTTTTGTATCAGCAAAGCTGTTTTCATTTTTAAACAAAAGACAATTAGATAAACGAAGCATGAAGACTGTTCCACATTTTAATTTGTGAAAGTAAGATGCTAGCTAGATATTTGGCTAACAAACTGGTTTCAGAAGTAATAGTTCTTTGAGAGTGCGCTTCCAGGAAAGAACTAAAGCTTACTTATTACTTGATTTCTGACTACAGGAATAAATCATTTACTCAAGAAAGAGCAGAAATACCACTGTCTCTTACCTGTCAACAAAGCTATTTGGCGTAGACATTATGTAGTCGTATGTATAGCTGAAGTTGTACAAAGGTATGCAACTGAAATAACAAGAAAAAACTGAAACAAATTAGATGGCAGTCACAACAAAACTGTTAATATAATGGATATTATTTCAGAGATATCAATGTTGGAAACAACATAATCGCATTGTTCTCTCAGACCAATGTGCCAAGTGCTCTTTTACAACAGATGTGGCCAATGATTATAGTGATCCTAAGTAAAAATCATCATCTGAATAGTTTATTCAAACACAGTTTGACTATTTCAGACAATTTACCAAAATTAACTCAGGAAACTAATAATGTTAAGGGGTACAAAGGTGCAAAAGTAGCTTACCACTACAGTTCTGATAAATTAAGAGTCAATTAAGCTAACCATACTACCAAATGAGTCAGCTTGTGTTACAAATTTGATAAATGAAGATATTAGTGAATTATGTCTCACCTGTCTGAAAGAAAAACAAATCGTTCATTGAGAGGATCCATCAATGCATGCTGAAGTAAAATGCGCTCTGCCTGGATCATGCTTGCTTCTCCCCAATCTACCTGAAGGAAAAGACACTTGCTAAATATTGCTAGGCTATACGAAGTATGTGAAAGAGAAAAAGAAATGTAGGTGTCGTTATAAGCTCATCAATCAAAATAAAGACTCGATCCGCAGAAAGTCTACATGATTGCTTGTCATAACATAAAGAAGGGAATGTTTTTTAAAATCAGAAACAGGTGTCAGGCAGAATAATAGCCTGCCTGCAGTGTGTACTATAGGGTTAATGGACCAGAAAGAAAATCCCCCAAAAGATTTTCTTTTGATGAGCAAAACAATTGGGGTGAGGGATGTCCTTAGCAAACCAAGTAGAGTGAATATGCAACAGTGAACTGGCAAATAACTTGTCTATTATAATGCAGCACGTGTATTTCTATCATAAATGCTGTTAATCGGATGAAGTATGCAACAGAACCTGAAGAGGTAGATTACCTACCTACTAGACTTATCGATGATGATGCTATCAACTAGAATTTTTCATTCAGAAGAAGAAAAAACCTGTATACTATCGTTAATTTGGCGATTCAAGAAATATGCTGATCTTGTCGTTACTTTGTTCAATAGAAACCCTGGTCGTGAGTGAACCAATATTGAAAATTTGTTTTCCTCATCCCCCTGCAAAACATGCACATACACAAAATATAAGTCTTAAAAGCTAGCAAAATTTCAAAAGAGCAAGATTTGGTTTGAATAAAGAGAGAGAGAGAGAGAGAGAGAGAGAGAGAGAGAGAGAGAGAGAGAGAGAGAGAGATCTGCAAACTACAGGAAAGAGCTATACACAGGTGGTTTCAAACTTCCACCTTCAGGTGGCGTGGCAAGCAAGTATGGGACAGCGGGAGCATTTGGCGAAAAGAACATAACACCAGAGTCCAACACCAAGATATTGCATAAGTTCTTTTAGAGCAAATATTACCTGAGAATTAAACATTACATCCGCGTTCAAGGGATACTTGGATAACTTCTTTTAGAGCATAAGAGCTCAGGAGAATCAAAGTTAACCCCACGTGTTGCTGATGAAACAATGACAGATGTTCCACAAGTCGTCAAACCATAAGAATTTGCTAATGTTGTTCAAAAGACGTGTATCCCTCAAAACCAATACAAACTTAACTAAGAACAAAACATAAAGTGAAGCGAAGGATCCGTACAGGCTATACCAACTAGTAGGAATTAAAGCTTAATTGATGTTGTTATACTTGCATCATAAAAAACTTGCATTAAGTTGGGTTTCGACAGGAGATTTTTGAGTCTTTTTTATTGTAGTTACTGTATATCAGTATAGGGTAAGTGTGAAATGTTCAACTTTAGGGACTCATATTTTTCCTTCAATAGACAAATATTTAATATTAGAATGTAATGAGCCAGAATAGAACCGTATAGAGCAAATGATTCATATAATCAATCTCCATTAACCGGGGATTAAAGCATAGTTGATTGATTGACAAACTTGGTGATGTTAATTTTAATCTTTTTCACAAAGCTCCTCGTTTCCACCAACACAAAAATTGAAAATCATTTTTGATAATCCTTCCTCCAAAAAACAGGAAATGTCAAACACCTCAAAGATTATTAATAGAAGATTGATAAGCATTTAAATAACAGGCTGCTTCTGTTTCACTCATTTGGGATAATTTCTGATCTCAGCTGGATCCAAGTAACCCCCACCACCCAGAAAAAGAATCTTGTAAAGCAGATATTAATCGATGCTAACTATACTAATATTGCACGTCCGTATAAAGAGTGATTGGCACTTTCAACATAATAAACTTAGTAAAGAATAAAATTTCCTAAAGTATTCCAATTTCCAAATATGAGAAAACACAGGAAGTAATCAATGTAAACAAAAATGACAAATTTAAACAATACACGCAGGATTAGAAATCAATACTGTTGCAATAATAAGTAACTTAATGGAAATAATAGAAACATAATAATTAAGGCGGAAAGAGAAGATTTGACAAAAATAGAAATGTAAAAAGATAGTTAAAACAGGAAAAATTCAACTGCCACGTAATTAATTAATTTACCTGAAAGAAAGCATCCCAAACGATGTCCAAAGGCAGACGATTCCGAGCTATAAACAAAAATGCAATTTTGGGCTTTTGAACTGTAGGTGTAGAGAGCAACGCTAACATTCTAATTCTACTGTATTGCGTCTCCATTATTACTAATGTCCCGAAGAAAAATCCAAGTAAAATCATAACAAACACCTTTATCTTCCATCTCTGCTGAGATTTCTGAGAATTGGACCTTCGCATCAGTTTCAACCCCATATTCCCACACTCAAATCATATAACCATTTCCAGCTAAAAATTCCATAAAAATTGGATCTCTAAGTAATTCAGTGCATTTTAGTGTCAACAATGGATCCAAGTCCAAAGGATCTGGGAAGAAATTAAAGCTAGCTCGTGATTTGAGACTTGAGTTCGACGTGAATACCGTGAACTGACACTAAATTAAAGAGAAAGGGACAGAGAAGAAGAAAGATAAGCGAGTGGAGTAAAGAGCTGACTTGAGCCTTGACTTAGCTTGAGACTGAGGGATTTTTACGAGATTTTTACTACTGATAGAGTGAAAGATAAGCTTAATTATCAATGGCGATAATTAGCTTCGTTGCGTGAATTGTAGGGAGAATCAGAACCTCATTTCAATGGCGAAATGATTTTCCCTTTTGCCAGCAAATCTACCAAACTTGGGTCTGTTCCGGACCTGCTTCCACTTTGAGGGCCACTTCAGCCTTTGCTTTTACTCAAAATTGATATTCTTTTTCAATTTTTAACTGTCTTATTTTAGACTTCTTTTATTTATCTTTTTCTTATTTTACGCAGCTTTCTATAATTTTCAGCGAATGTTTTCACTCTGTGTTCCTCCTGTCTCATGCCAGTCCAAAGTAGCAATTACTTTATTTCCATATATATTAAGGATAATTTGTACCTTCTTACTGTTTTTTAAAAGTAAATACTATAGTACACTTAGATTTTAATAAGATAATCATAATTATGAGTTTAATATCTAAAATATTAAATATACTCTCTATACTTTTAAAACTACTAGTATCTATTAACGTGGTTGCACGTTAATAATGACACATGATGGTTTAAATATTTATTTATATGAAGGAATAATAAATTTAATTAATGAGAGAAATTTTATATATAATACTACAACAATCGTCTAAANGTTCATACCAATTAATAATCAAGAAGTATAAAGTATAAATGAAAGAAATAAGTGAATCAAACCAGTGTTACTTAAGCAGTATCGACTTCGAGCTCAGTGACCTCGAGATAAATAAGAAAACCGCAATGGCCGCGCAACATAGCTTAATACAACATCTACTCCTTCTCTTCTCTTGAACTTGCAAACCGTAATGGCTAAAACATCTAAAACTGCCCCTCAGCAAGAAAAAGCTTGTTCATCATCGCGGCCGGCCGAGAGGTAGAGTGGTGGTGCCACCTCGTATCGAGGAGTGTATTCCCCCGCCGTGTGAACTAACTTTCGATTTCAAAATCGATAAACCTGCATCGACACCGGGCCGATGTGAGCCCATGTCCCGATACATCCGCTTGATAATCGAAGATGAGCTCGAGCAGGTGAAAGAGGACCGCAACTGGAAGGACAAATATGTAGATCACCTTTCCCCTGAAGAGGACATCACTACTCATAAGGTAGGGTACCTAAGCGTGTATACCTACCCATTCATGTTGGGTCCTGTAGATCCAGCTCTGGGTCCCATAGACCCAATGATTCTTGATTTTTGCCAACTATACCAGGTGNCAAACCACCGATGAAACTTCCGGTGACTCTTTGTATCTTACTTTGCATCATGCCATCTTTGGTACGTTCTGGCCCCACTATGCTTTTGCAATTGGGAGACTGGTAGTGAGCCTCGACATCCTTTCTTCTTTGTTTTGAACGCGACTGACATTGGAATATCTTGAAGAACAAACCTCAAAAGGAATAAAATGCAATGACCTTGAGAGTTAAGGATAAAAGAATCCATAACCAGACGATTTACAAAAAGGAAAGAAAAGGAAAAGGGACTTATCTGAGTGGAACAACTGGTACCATTGATCATGACATGCATTTCGGACTAATCGGCCCAATCCGCCCAACCAATCAACTTTCACCTGCCACGCTTTGTTGCCCCAGAATTCCATAATCCTGATTTCTTCAACCTAACCCTAACCTTGTTCATCCTGCAGTGTCTTGAACGGTTTTCACCCACAGAACTATCTCATTTAATTTCTCTCCACTCACTTTCGCCTTATGGTGCCCGTGAGGGTTTTCACCAATAAGACACTCTCATTTTTCATTTCTCTCAGCTCCCGTCGCCTTACGGTGCCCGTGAGGGTTTTCACCAATAAGACTCTCTCATTTTGGATTTTTCCTGCTTGAACCAGAGTGTTGCCCCTGATATGAATTACCTTGACCCGCTTAACTTGGCATTTCTTGAAGACTGACCGGAAGGTCTTTCTTTGAACCGTAATGTGGGCTTTTGGATAGGGTTAGAAAGAAAGGGTATCAAGGGCTCAAAACAATTCAAATGGGTTCAAAATTACAACTTTCGGAATCAGATTTCTTACAACAACCACAACTTCTGCCCCAGTTTCTTTCTTGGGGCCTTTTGGATTTTTATTTTGGTGTGACTGAACCTCAGAGAGAGGCTGCCTACGTATCCTTTCGGAATCAAGTCAAACGTAGTTTAGGTCATAGAAATTACTTTGTTGGTGTGATTTTCTCTTCTTCCATTTTCTCTCTTTTCTTGTTTTCCTTTTCTCTTCTTTTCATTTCTTTTCTTTTTCTTTTTCTTTTTTTTCTTTTCTTTTCTTCGCTTTTTTTTTCATTTCTTTTTTTTTTTTCATTTTTCTTCTCTCTCTCTTTTCACTGTTTTCCTTTTCCTTTTCCTTCACTTACTTTTCATGCTTGTGTTTACGAACTTTGTCATTGATTCCAAAAGAGGGGTATGAAAGGAGATAACTGAGGCTCAAAGGGGTAGCAAAGGATAAAGTATTTAGGTAGCAGAACAAAATGCCTTCGTCATTTCAATCTTCAAAATATGCCAAATACAAACAAGTACAATCAGACAAAGGAATCAGACATAGTATCTCTTGACTGCATCGAAGTTGATAGCCATTTCTACACATTTTCCTTCCACATCTGTCAAATATAACGTACCAATGGACAACACTCTAGTTACAACAAATGGTCCCTGCCAGTTTGGGGCGAACTTTCCTTTTGCTTCAGCCTGATGAGGCAAGATACGTCTCAACACTAACTGTCCTACTTCGAACTTCCGTGGACGCACTTTCTCGTTATATGCTCTCGCCATTCTCTGTTGGTACAATTGGCCATGACATACTGCTGCCAATCTCTTTTCATCAATCAGACTCAATTGCTCCAGGCCGGTTTTGACCCACTCATCATCGTCATGTTCCAATTCATCATCACACTCAATTTCTTGTATTATTACTTCATAATTAGACCGGCTTTTAAGACTGGGCCGAAGATTCCTCATGCATGTCACGTCATTGAGACCAGCATAGAAAGAACTGTACAAGAAAGAAAAGAAAAACAAAAATGAAACTATCAGGAATGAAGAAGAAGGGAAATTGCATTTCACTGAAATTGAAGATAACAAGGTTTAACACGGACGGAACGTAGAACCTGAATCACAACCCTGGAATAATCCAAACAACTAAAAGAAAATCAAAACCCACTACCAAAACTCCCTCCGAGTAGGAAGAAGAGTAGCTTCCCAATTGTTGATCTTCACATTAGGCCTGACAAAATGCACTTATTCGTCACCAGAACCTTCCCGAATTTCTACCGCGTTCACTTCATCAAATAGACTTTGGACCATTTCAAATCAACTCCTCCTGCTCAGGGTTCTTAGGAGGCTTTCAGCCGAGAGATCAAAGCGAGGGGTGTAAGAACATGGTTCTGGTGCTTTGAAGGTAGGTTCGAGTGGGTAGTAGTGATTATCATGGGTTTGGAACAAAGGTTCACTAGAGGATCTGTGTAATGCGGCAGGTGGAGGGGCCACAAACACAGGGGTGACTGGTGGGGGAGGGTATGGGATTTGTTTGGGTGGTGGAGGTGGTGGTGTTTGGGAGGTGGAGGTGGTGGTGTTTGGGAGGTGGTTCCGTAGCACTGTTGGTAAGTAGGAAAGGCTGGAGATGAGTTCACCGTAGGAGGATCCTGAGGTTGAGCTAACGGTGGGATGTAAGCAGGGTTAGCAGGGTAAGCCGGTGGTGGGTGTCCTTTTGACCGGGCCTGGTACATCTCAACCATTTGCTGCTTCAGCTTATGCATCTCCTCTTTCATCCAATTCTTCCTCTTCCTTCGACGGGTTGACGATGCTTTCCTCTAACTCCTGGTTGACCATGTTTGACTTGTCCTTAGAGCGGGTGTTGTAGGAATGGGTTGTCAGAATGCCAGTCAACTAACCACCTGCCTGGACTCATCATCAACAACAACTTTGTTAGCGGTTAGAGAATTAATAGATAGGTAACCGCACATTTGGGAATGAATGCACCTAAGCAGTTAACCATTTCTATTATGCCTTTGCTTGGTTACATGCGTCATCCCGGCTTTCCTTTTCTATATTTTCCATGCCTTTTCTCTCACTCTTCCCTCTTGTTTTTCCATTGTTTGTTTCTTGCCTTTCCCTCTTTTCTTTTGCTTTTCTCTCTTATTTTCCCTCTTTTTTTTTGCCTTGGTTTTTTCTTACTCCTATTCTTTCCTCAAAATTATTTTTCCGCTCTTTTCTTTTCTTTTCTTTTGCTCTCTTTTTATTTTCTCTTGTTTGCCTTTTTGTTTTTGGTTACGGTCGAATCCTATGGAGATTGCCTACGTATCATGACCCCGCATGAATCAGACCAAGCGTAGTTCTTGCAAATAAACGCAAAAAATAAGGAAATAATTTTTTTTTTGAGATTTTCACTTTTCTTTAATAAAACTCCGATTACAAAGATACTAAACTATTTGTTTTTCTTAAAAAGGAAAATTACAAAACAGACTCAAAATAGCGAAATACAGACTCGACAACTAGGAATACATCAAAGCTTCAAATCCTGGGGCCCGCGGGGCATCATTCGGCATCGCCGCGGGCCTACGTGCAAGACCCCTTTGTAACTGCTCCAAATCATTCATAACCTGACGAACAAATATCATTACTGTAGAAAAGAAAGTGGTACGACCCATTCTTTCGCCGGCTTGACATTTCATGACAATATAATCTGCAATGCCTCTAATTCTTTCCCTGATCTGGCCTTTTTCCTGGAGTAATCGGCTTATCTTCTGGTTGCGAGCCTCTAACACCTGGGAGTCGTGGAAATGATGGTCTTGCAAAAACTTTATTTCTTTTTCCATCTAGCACTGTTCCCTTTCAGCCTGAAATTCTTTGTCCTACCGAGCTGCGTTATCTTCAAGGGTGTGCATCTTTCTTTTCAGATTGGCAATGGTTCCCTCATAATTTCTTTTCATTTGTTGCACAAGTTGGGCTCTTTCCTCTGTCTTCTTTGCCCATTGTGCCCGAAGTTTTGCCATGTTCCCCTCAGATTTCTCCAACTCATCTTGGCACTCTAAGACTTGCTTTTTCAGCCAATTTATCAATCTCTCATCGGACCGACTTCTTTCTTGATTTTTAGCATCTATTTTCATTTGTCAGATTTGCTCTTTAAGAACCTCATTCTCTTGGGTCAGTTTCTTTTTGTCACCTTCATCAGCGGCTTGCACACTCTTTTCAAAT